TTGTTATTGTAATACCCCTATCATCCGTTCTTGTTTGAAAATTCTAGCACCCCGGACTATTCCGTCGCCCCCGCCGGAAGGGCGAGGGCAAGCCCCGTGCACTTCAATACCACATGAATGGATGGATGCTAACGGCTGAACCCTTTATATCGGGCGGTAGCTAGCGCCACCTGGCCTAGCCCAACAATGGCAACCGCCAGTGTCGCTTGGTGGGGTTTCGAAAAGAGTCGAATACATTCTTTTCTCTAGCCAGCTCTTTCACTTGAGGGCATAAGACACATTCGCGAGAGGTCCCGCTTGCTGAATCAGTTTCAGTCGTTGTTCTATCGCCGCCATGACTGCACACTGCACACTTGTCTGAACGCGACAAGGGCACGTCCACTCGACGCAAGTCCGAATAATTGATTGACCGAGCGAGCGAGCGAGTCGCACTTTTCGTCCAACGCTCAAAGAACAGATTAAGAGCGCGGTGGCCGGCATTGTGCCCTGCACCCCTACTGGGAGACTCTAAAATCCATCATTTCAGAGGCTATCTAAATTTACGCGGGCGGTTGGAAATTTAAATACGCGCATAGTAGATGAGCTTTCGCCTGCCTTTCTCCATCGAGACCTCGTCGGAACGCATTACTTATGATAATCGAATTCCTCGGCCGCTGCTGAGAATAAAAACCCGAGGGGTATTATTTTTGGTGGGATGCGACTTTTCGGCCCCCCTCCCTACGAGATTAGCTCACGTAGGCTCGTTGATGAAACGTTACTTTCTTTTTCACTTTTTTTTTGCTGTTGTTGTTGCTTGTTTTCCTTTTTCTTTTGTAATCAAAGGCTCCCATCTACAAAGTTCCCACATGAATATTTATTGTAAAACTACGACCTTTTTGAGGAGTTCGCAGACATGGCGGTGCAGTGTGTTGAAAAAGTCAAAAACAAAAAACAAACACTTTATACCGCAGCCGACGGTATAAAGACCAACACAGTGTTTCCGAACGAGCCCGCTTTGCCCCCACCAGGTGTGGGCACTACGCGAGCGCAGAAACCAAATTAGGGAGGAGTGAAGCATCTGCGCATGCGCACTACCGACAGCAGCGCCACCGCAGGGCACCGTCCCGACGACGCTCGTCTGCTTAGCCAACCACGCACGCAAAAATCGCCGCACTTTGATTGGTTTGGCCGGGGGTGGCCGTACGACGAGCTCGGCGCGGCACGAGCTGCTATATTAAACCAGGTGACGCAACATATACGATACACTTTGGGGGGCCGCTGGATCCATCAGAGTGTAGAAACAGAATATATATATATATATGGCTCGGGTCATGCCGACAAAGACCACGGCACACGACATGTGTCGAGTTATACCGTATACGCGTCAGATTGTCGATAAAAATTGAACGTGCTGTTGTTGTTTGTAACATTGTATGTTACGATCCTGTTTTTTTTTTTTTCTTTTTGTCGCACATATTTTTAGAAAGGGTTCTATCCTTTGCGTAAACTTTATTTTATGTGTGTGTATAGTGGTTTTAACTACGTACCACCCTTCTTTTATTATTTTTTTTTGCAATCTTTTTGGGCGTTGAAGGGTACCTCGATTAAATAAGTAAATTAAATAAATAAAAGTATCCGGGTTCCCCATGATGCATCCCCAACTTTCTTGGACCATCAACGCCTCGGCGCGTGCACTGATATGATGATGATGATGATGATTGGGGTCTTATGGCGCACTCGCGCAATAATATGAGAATTTCAACCGAACAACAGCAAACATCGCAATGTTCCCCGAGAATATATAAGACGACAATCATTAAATTTAAAGAAGCGGCAATTAAGCATTTGCACGCATATAGTCTTTATTCCGCTGCTCTGCAATTTTTTTTTTTACATTGAATTTAATTTGTTAATTTACAAAACTGTTAATTTCTGTGTTTCTTGACAAAATATGGTAATGTTCCCGAGTATCGTAATTGCCCGGGTATAATATGGAACGCAAATCATGTCAAATACTGACATCTCCTCGAAAACTTTCTTTTTATTCATTCGACGGAATGCCCCAGAAAGGTGGTCATGCGATGGCAATGGGGCTTACCTCCGCGGAGTTATAGCGCAACCACGCACTTTATCGGTAGGGTAGCCCTCCCACGTTCCCCGGTCTTCGTCAGCATAATTAAGCTATAGGGAGTATTCACTCGACGCCATATTTGTGGGTGCTGTTTAGAGCGCATGCTCAGAATGAGCCCACGTTAATAGGCTGCTAAGACCGGCAATCTTGATGGTGTGGAATGCACGTTGCAAAAGAAACGTGGAAGCTCGCCAGCAGCACGTGCACAGCATTCGCGCACACAGCTATGGCCGCCACTGAACACTCCCTATAGGGTGTAAACTTTCGATCTCATAAAACAACCGTTATAGCTTCCCGCCAAGCACCTGCTCCGCTTAGCTCGGTCGATGTAGCGTAACACACACGGTTTCAAGCTCAATCCTTGTCCAAAATGTTTATTTTTTATTTTTTTTAAGGCGCCATTTCTTGCTTTTTCCGCATTACCCCAACAGCGGGTGCTCTCAATCTTCGCTGTTGTTTAGACAAAATCCCAACTCAAATTCACAATAAAAAAAAAATAAAAAAAAAAGTTTTTTGGAGGCTTGCGAAAAACGAAATTCGGCGCTTTTCACGACCTCCCTCGTCTCCGACCTTGCTGGCACGCGTGCCATAAATGCTCACGGTATGAAAATGGAAGAGAGAAAAAAAAAAAAAAAAAAAAAGAAATCTCTAAAGGCACACACACCCACGCTAAACGAGACAATTAAAGTGAAGGATATATACGTTTATGTTTTTCGTTGTATATTTTTTTCCCCTATATATATAGCCCAAAACGCTGTTGGAGTATGAAGAAAAGAAAAAGAAAACAAGGAAAGCACTTCGCACGTTTTCCGAAAGCGTAGTACATGAGAACCTGTACACCGCGTACAAGTATGTTAGCGCCGCGGAGTTAACTTTAGCAACATCTTGGGAAACTTCGTGCACGGTCCGTATACTTCTTCGAATCCGCTGGATGAATGGGGTCTGTGTCAAACATCCCACTTTCGGCATTGCTTCTTTTTTTTTCCCTCATACTACGAAAGAAAGAAAAACACGCTATTTAGGTTTTATTATTATTTTCTTTTTTGTTATACAAGGGCACTCACCCAAATCTTCGAGTCTGACAAACCCAAAAACGACTGCGAAAAAAAAAAAATAATAATAAGCCTTCTTTTCTTCTCCAATTTCGCGCTGAAGCGGTCGTGAAAATGCTGGTCGGAGATCACGAAACATGAAGTATAGTTGTAAGGAAACCAGTTCTCGGTTGGAGATATAAACGCTCTCGTCCGAAACGTACAAGATTTAATGTGTGTTCTCTTCTTTTTTCTTTTTGCGTATGCGTGTGTGTTTCAGTGATTTGTTTATTCGCTCGTATGTTCCTATACCAGTAGCTGATTTGACTATTTATAGTTTAAAGGCGAGGGTAACTTTTAGGACGAAGCGTTCTGCAATTTTCGAAATATAGAACAATGTTCTGCCCATTGCAAGATGACTGCGCCATGGCGTTCGGGCCCGTCCCACATTTTGAGATGGCGTGCCAAATTAAATGGGCGGATAATCTTTCTTTATATATATATATATATATATAATTTCAGCTCCTTTTACAGAATTGTACTGTCAGGTATTCAGACCAAACCTCGCATAACAATGTTGATCTAAATTATGTTTGTTCTTATTGCTTTTCTTTCCAGCCTAAAACTGTTTCGTTGTGATTATATGCATACATCGTTCGTTATGTTGGAAATAATTGCAAGTGTAAAGCGCAGTTGAATTATGAAGAGTCGACATATAATGCCACCTAAACATGAGGTTCCAAACGTTAAGAACCTGAGAGAGAGAGAAAAAATCCTCAGCGGGAATTTCGATATTGTGACTTGGCTTCTGAACGTGACCACTGTGACATTGGGAATTAGTGAATACACGAAATACAACTCTGAGTGTTTTATGTGCTTAAAATGTCTGAACATCTTCAGTCGCTAACTTTTAGGTTGTTATTGTAACTATAGCGTACCTGTGAAATACAGTATAATACTCCTAACCTTCATAAAAAAATATATATATATTTATTTATTCGCTCACAAAATCGTGTATTTTTTTATATTAATTCGATTCTTTTACAGAATTTTATAGCGCAGATTTTTCTCGCCTGCCTGCTATGTCAGCATATTACATGATCGTTTGTCAGCATCAGCATGTCAGCATCATCACGCCTACGGTTGTCTCAGAGATCTGAACCGCACTTTAAAATTATCATGTTGCAGCTAGTGAAAATTCCAACTCCCTCAAAAGCTGCGATAAAAAAGTTTTATCCCTTTATCTGCGTCTCATATCTATACGTCATAATGATTATCAAGCTCACAGATCAAAGGCCTGACAAAACCTTAACGATGTTTGCACCTTCGTGCTGATTCGTATTATTTGTTTCACGACGAAAATACAGCAGTAATGATATATTTTTTTTCTTTTTGTTTATATCATAAAACAAATGTTAGTTTATTATGAGCTCCGTTTCTTGACCAACAATTCTTGAGGTAGGGCTAGTTGGTTGTTTTTCACACTTTGGAATGAACTTCGCTGCGAAGGACTATCAATAAACGACACTGAAACTAGGAAGACGACACACCTACGCAAGTAGGCCCTTACTTGTGCATGTCGTGCTCTCTTTTTAGTCCCAGTGTCCTTTATTGCTAGTACATCGTAGCGCAGTTCATTTAAACTTTAATCTTGGTTCACCATCGTCACTAAAGGTACACAAGGCGAGGCCGTGGCTGATCAATCTCGCTATCCAGAAAATTGTTTTTTTTTTTTTTTTTGTCCTTGCCAGGACAACAAAAAAGCAAAATTGAGCAGTCGTAATTCAATTATCCAAGCCCCTCGCGTCCCGCAGATTTGCAGAAATATGACTATAGCATGGCACGTAAAGAAAACTTACCTGCAAACAACGTGCTCCAAACGTGGCACTGTCCAAACTCGTTGACTCCGGAAGTGTCTGTCGACTCGTAACTTGTCCCGTATCCAGCAAAGAAGAAAAAAAAAAAAAAAAACGCTCACAGGCTGTCGATTTTCTTGTTGTCGGTAGAGCCTTCTTTCGGAGAGCGCGCAGAGCAGACTGTCGGCTTTTCCGCACAGCTCGATATTTCTCCAAGCCACCCCGCGCCGCCCCGCAAAGCGCGGACTCGTCGCCGTCAACAGGTGTTTGCAGACGACAAGTTTTGGGCTAGCAGACGGCACCAGCGTCGCTCAGAGTTCGTGTGCACGGTCGGAATCGGTCGTAAATGCGACGCTAGGGTCGGTTCGGAGTCATCTGGCTTTTGGTGAAACGTCGCACAGTCGTGCCTGCGGATGCGGTCTCGGCGTGCGGTGTCTCGGCGTTGCTCCGTCTGCGTTTCCTGGAGCGCAGCCATGCAGGCGGCAGCCGTGGGGAGAGGCGCGCGCATGCGCGGAGGCGATTCCCCGCCCCGACCGGCACATACCCATAAAGGGAATAAACGAAAGTTGGTCGGCGTCGGCTCCGCCCGCGCCCTGACGTCATATCGACGTTGCTCTACGTCACGCGTGAGGAGCGTGGCTCCATCTCTGGGCGAGTATTCGAAATGCGCGCATAAACGCGGGTCGGTATAGCTTTTTTTTTTTTTTTTTTTTTTCCTATTGATTTTGTGAAACAGTAAGGAAGGTAGACCTTGCACTCGAACGAAACATTGATGTCGAGCGAGAGGAGATTGTTGAATTCTCTTTTAATGTAACCTCGAAAAAATGTGTTAACTTTATGCTTATATATGACGATATATTGTTCAAATAAGCACCATACATTCGTTCTATGAGCAAGTAGAACTCTAGTGGTTTATTTTATAATTACCTCATTCGAAGCATTTTGCATCATGTATACACTTTCAGTCGCATTACGCGTGATCGCCTGTAAAACTAGATTTTAACAAAATGTCAGTATATGCCGAAGAAATTCCCTTTTTTATGGCAGCTCATGTGAATCTAATTCTGCATTCGTACATAGGATTTCCATTTGCTGTAAGACTTAAAAATTAAGATTCATCTACTCCATATTTTTTTTTTATTTGTTTCTTTCAAAAATAAGGCTAGTTCGACAAAAAAAAAAAAAAAAAAGTTAGGTGCTGAGTTTATTTCTGAGGGATGAAATGATACACGATAATTTTATTCGAAAAGTTTTTTTTCTCTCAAGAGCGAGCATTTTCTTAGGCGAAAGTTCTTTCTCATTCGAGACGAAATGCTTCTCTTTTCCTAGAAGACGCCCAAGACATGCCTTCACCTTTTTGACAGCTATCATAACTCAAACTCATGAAGGTTGTATGCCTATCAACAGAGTATATCTTCTTTCCCACGAAAAACTTAAAACTTCATAAGGTGTACAGTTTTAGCTAGGCCAGTGTTTCCCTACCTGTTACATGATAGGACGATTCTCTGATTGTTTAAATTGCATTTGCCTGTAGAATTGAAAAATCAGTACTACAATACATAATGCTGGGCGTCGATTTGAAGTGTTAACGCGATTAATCGCCACCAGTTAATCGATTGATTAATCGATTATTCGGTTTAGTTAATTTCCATGCATAGTATTTATTTTTAAAAGTATTTTTATTTTTGCTTTTGCTAGATGTGTGATAAACGGCGCAAATATAATTGCGGTTATGAATCAACCTTGATGTGTATCTATGAAGAGTTCAAAGACACTCACACTCACAGATTATTACTTCAGCTGCATGAGGCGAACAGGTTTGTTGATATTTTCTAGCAAGGGCGAAGTTCTTTGATTGTTCCCAATAGTCTCCACTGCTTTAAACGGACACTCGAACGGCGCGTTGAAGAAACCGGGACACGTGTAACCTTCTACACTTGTCAGGGGTTGCAAATCTTGTCCCTACCGTTTATTTTAAGCTGAAATTTGTCCTTAAGTTTTCCCTTTATTCAGGTGTACTCGTCAATGTTTGCATGATGAAACTTTAATTTTTACTTCATTTTGGTTCGTCAAAATGTTACCGATTAACCCGTTAAAAAAAATAAACCCGATTAAAACATTAATAGATTAATCGGTCGGTTAATCGATCAATGGCCCATCCCTGAAAACAAATAAATTTATGTCGAACTCGAACATTAAAGTCTTTATGCTGCATTGTGGTCTGTCAAAGCAGATAAATTCGGTTTGAGAAACGAAGCACTGTACAAACGGACTAATAACCGAACAGAATCGAAGTAAAATTACTTGACAGAAGGAAGAGTGCTACTATAGACCCCCAATTACGTACTAACATTTACAACCCCCAAAAGCGTAAAAGATTACACCCTTGGTGTGAACATGTAACACCCCTAAGGGTGTAAACGTAACACCATTTAAACCCTTTTAAGGTTGTAAAGGGTGCTTCAGAGACGTGTCAACGATACACCCTTTCAACACCTTTACTTCGCGTAATGCACCCTTTGTAACTGTAGTGTAGGGTTCTGTTGCATGAAACAGTGAAAATGGTGTGGAAAACGATGCTGCGCTGCAGTGCGGCGAAGTGACAAACCTCGAAGGCGTTTTTGCGGCTACGTCCACCAATTACTACAAACATAGAAATGTTTCACTAAAGAATACGTTCCATGAGCCTCAAAAAAAAAAAAATTGGTTTTATCAGTAATATTGACGAGAAAAAACACAACCTAACCGTAACATCATCAAATTGCTGAGGCGGTCAGCGGCGAAATTACTACTTTTGGTTGTTGAGTATTATAAGGCGGTCGGAGCAGTCAAAACAGGGTCACGAATAGAGGTCCCGCTCATGCTTCAAGCGCCTGTCCTTGGAATTGAAAATAGAATTCAAGTCCAGACATTGAGCGTAAAATACTCAAATACAAAACAATTGAACGGAATGTGAACCATGTCGGATCTAGGCCGTGAACCCCAAGGTGTTGCAAAATATGCACCTTCTTTTAGTGTGTTCGCCGGCTGGGTGAGGCACATCTATAGTATCCTAGCTCTGGCCGATACTAATTTCCATCTTTAAGGGTGTAAACTTGTGTAATCGGTACTGATCGGTTCACAACCGAAATCCCCTTGACAAATTTATTATCTGAGAAGTGTGATTGAATGTCAAATTTAGGCTAACGTATATTGGTCGGATGCCGATCTACCGCATTGTCCGTATACTGTATTCCGCAAGGGCAAATTTGGGGTCAAAAATAAAAGTTTTCGCGTAGATAGTCCGCACATGGCGCATCCGAACGTAAAAATCCTCATGCACAACACACCTTGACAAACGTCGGGGGGGAGGGATCAGTGGCCGGGTGGGCTAGCGCACACCAGCTCGAAGCGCGTGAACCGAAATCTCGCGCTGCAGACCCCAGGGATCCTGGACTCAATCCCCAGCCCTGCCCGTTTCGATCTGGATGAGCATTGTAAGGGCGTGCGGTCATGTATCACTACTGCGTGGTGCCCGTTGAAGACCCCAGGCCAGCGGCTGTACTGCACTGGTTAAATTTATCATCTACAGTTGAGAGACAAGTCGCCCGTTGAGGCAAACTAAGTTAAGGCTGTATAAACATACACCCCCCCGCGAAACAAACACACACACAAACAAACACGCACGCACGCACACACACACGCATGTCTGCTGTATTAGCTAACAAGAAGTATCGTAGATAAATCAATATTAATATGTATTCAGTTATTCATAAACATCCTTCGCGTCTTATCACAGGGAACGATCTAGAAGAAAACAAATCCTTGTATAATCCTCACCTGTAGATAGTCCCCACCGGGTAAATTTCCAAATTTAAACATGTATAGTCCGCAGACACATAAACGCGCTGTAACACACAATTTACGTCTGAGGTCTATATATAAGACACATATACACGTCAAGATGGCTCTATAATGTGCGCAATCATGAGCGGCTTCCTGGAAGCGATCAGACAACAGGTCCAGTAACGCGTCTATATGTGTCATTTACAGATGCATAGACGATGTTCCAAATATATGGGTCACCGTGTTTCCAGCTCTCTAAATTATAAGGCCTGCCCTATAGGGTTACGTAAAATCATAAGGACACAAGATATATGTTAAACGCACTGATTGCCGGCTTGATTACACCCAAACCTGATCGAACAGTTCACCGCTGTCAGCCATCTGAACCAACGCCACCTTGAATAATCGAGGCCTGCGAACATCCTTCTCTTCCTTGATAGAACGTCGTCACAGTGGGAAGGCGCCGACTCGGGAATTGGGCTGGAGCCCGATGCCGAGTATCCTTCGACGCGTTGATTGGCCACGAGGCCCCGCCGAATGCTGACGTATAGCTCTCGTGACCAATTAGCGTCATCGCTCGATCTCGCCGTGATGACGTCAAAAATCCTAGTGCACAGGCTTTGATTATTCTGTACTCGTTGTCGCACCGAGACAATAGCAAGTTTTGCGCATTATTGATGCGCCGCGAGAAGTAGTTCTGAGGAGATTTGGTTGTCGAAGGTAGAGACGATGCTTTTGGTGTTTGAAGTGTACACTATCGGGGAAAAATGAAATGCGAACAGAGGAGCGCGTGGCTCGCGGTACAGGCTGCGCCGCCTGGAAGTGAGCCTAGGAGCGAGGGTGCGTGGCCTACTCCGACGTGTTCACGCCCCTCCCTCTGAGCTCCCCAAGCTTCAGCAGTGCGCCTCCTAGTGCGCTGAAAGCTATCACCGCTATCTTTGCTCGCTCGGCGCGTGCGGTGCAAAGAAGCTCGCCGCACCATATACTCTATGGCCGCACTCGCCGAGCAGGCAAAGATAGCGGTGACAGCTTTCAGCGCACTGAGAGGCGCACTGCCGAAGCTGGGGGAGCGCCAACCGAGAGCCGTGAACACATCGAAGTAGGCCACGCACCCTCGCTCCTAGGCTCACTTTCAGGCGGCGCAGCCTGTACCGCGAGCCACGCGCTCCTCTGTTCGCATTTCATTTTTCCCCGATAGTACGTCTTGAGAAGATGGCATAAAACTAATTTAGGATGCAACCGCATGAAAAGGGGAAATTAGTAACCTTCCGCGAAAAGCCGAACCTTTTTTTACTAGGGAAGAGTGGGGAGGAATGGGGGACGGCGGGAGGAGTGGGACAGTCAATATGCTTCTTCGGTGAATAGTTCCCAAAAAGTTGATGAACTGCAGAGTGATGACGCCGTGATAGCGATATTTTCAACTGAAAGTGACGCGTGAAATGTGAGTCGGCCTATTTGGGGCAGGATAAGCCTTGCGGGTAGAGTGCCTTCCATGCGGCTACGGTTGACTAATGAACGCCTCGACTGCTATTTCTTCGATTAAGTTTACCTGTGCAGCTTGTTCTAGCTTGTGGGTGGGTGTGGTGTTAGTAACATCCCTTTCATTGTCGCTCCGTTTAGAATTTCTGGGCTTTTTCTTGGGTAGGGGAACGTTGTAGGTATTTATATCTCTTGCGACGAGAGAACGCACTGGCGCCAACTATCGGG